TCTGACAGCCTCTTGTTGTTTCTGTTCTCTAACTTTAGTTTGCCTCAACCAAATGTTATGAAACTTATGCACAATGCTTATTACCACAAAACTCAGATCAAGTAGAAATTTTGGTAGCGTCACTTCTACAGTTCTTGAGTTATATCCCTTTATAACGTTATATGCAAGCGGGGGGCATCATTTGTGTCCCATGGACACATTCCCCATTTATTTTGTCATATGAAACACTCGGTTTTTATGAGTAATAAGATAACTATATTTGGTTTATGGCTTCCTTACAAGGTCTACATGTCTGTCAGACAGGGTTCACCTGAAGTGGTCCTTGTTTTATGGATCAATGATCAAGGTTAAGTTTATGGGATCAAGGCCTCATCTCCAATACTATTAACAATAGGTCAACTATATTTGGTGAATGGTATGATTGTTAGGTGTACATGTCTGACTGGCAGGTTTCATCTAACCTTGATCTCATTTTCATGGTTCAGTGGACAATGTCTATTTTTTGTGGTTTGGTCTATTTCTAAGAAACTTTAAGCAATAGGGCCACCATATTTTGTGTACGGAATAATTGTAAGGTGCGTGTCTGTCAGGAAGGTTTCAACCTTGACCTCATTTTCATGGTTTTGTCAGTTTATCAGATACTATAAGCAATAGGTCAATTATATTTGGTGTATGAAATGATTGTAAGGTGTACATGTCTGTTTGGCAGGGTTCATATGACCTTGACCTTATTTTCATGGTTCATTGATCAATGTTAAGTTTTTTGTGGTATGGTCTGTTTTCCTGGTACTATTGGCAATAGGTCAATTATATTTGGTGTATCAATGGAATGAATCTAAGGTGTACATGTCTATTTGGCATGGTTCATTTGACCTTGACCTCATTTTCATTTGTTATGATACAACACAATAACCATAGAAGTAAACAATATAAAGTTGGAACTTGCGCTACTTTGTCTAGAAATCATCACCTTTAAGGGGACAACCATTTGATATTCTGGGGGGGGGGGGGGGGGGGGGGGGGGGGGGGGCAGGAGGATTTGTTTTGGATTGGTTATTTATTTTTGTGGACTAAAAGGACATTATTTATTTTCTGCACTGTTGAAGCATGATTTTTCATTTTCATTAAAACAAGGGACTGATTATTTATTTTCACAATTATATTTATACTATTTGAAAACATGCAATTTTAACCGGATTTTCGAAGTAAAAATCGGTTATTGATTTGGGGATGTACGGCGGGTGGGCGGGCGGCTGCCAAACAGTCATTTACATGAAAACGCTTTGAAGAATGTTTTTCAAATTTAGATATGTTGTTTCCTGTGACTAAATGAAGGTCAAGTTCAATTATCATGATTTTAGCTTTTCTCGTTGTTCAGTTATAGCCCTTTCCCAAGAACTCTATTTTTGATGAATTAATCCATTTCTGTACAAAGGGAAATAACTCATTTTTTTAAGAGATTTTTAAAAGACATTGTATTTATGATAAATGACATTTTGGATTTTTTTTTCTTTTCTTTGATAAATTGTTTGAAGAATTTTGTGGTAGGTTTGTTTATAATTCTGTATTAACTAATTTTCTGAATACTATATGTATAATTTTTTTTTTATGAAGTGAACTCCTTTGATTAGATAATAATCTATTTTTATTAAAGGATATATTTCATTACATTACATTGTGTAGAAAAATTTGTTGACTTTGATTGATAAGCTGCAGATCTATATTAGTTTGTGACAAATGAAAGAAAAATATTTGGACCTATTGATTATATTTGATTATAATTTGAAAATAGATATACATTGTGTTACATCATATCTAATTTTAGAGAACTATATTAAATCATATCTAATGTTAGAGTACTATGTTAAACCATATTTCTGTTCAAACTCAAACTTATTCCATGAATCAGTAATGATAACATCAAAATTTCTTTATAACTATTTTTTTTAAGTCATGTGTGTTCTGAAGGTAGATGTCACAGTTGTTATGTGGTATTTTATTTTTTGTTGTGTGTGTTAATGTTTAATTTTTTCATGATCCTGTTTGGGGTTCAGATTTGCAAATATCATTTTCATTATTAATTAGATAATAATCTATTTTAAATATTCAATCACAATCCAAATTCAGAGCTGTTTTAAGCTTAAATTTTGTGTCCATACTTGCTCAACTGTTCAAGGTTCCACCTCTGCAGGAAAATCCGGTTTGCTGTCACTCGACAGCCTCTTGTTAAATTCATCTTTTTATTCTTAAATAAATAATACATGTATAGTCAAGTCATTATGTACCAATTAATCAGAATTAATCATCATCCTCTGGAAGTGAATCTTCTGAATTTCAAACTGCATATATTGCATATGTACAAGGTATTAAAGTTGGGCTTTAACTAGCCTCTTTTAAAAGTAGTGCGAAGGGTTTGGGGGCCGCTGAAGGCCCCAAGAAGCTATAGAAGAAATGATGCAAAATCGTGCATCCCCAGACCCTTTCTTAATCTGAAACGCAAGTTCTGTTTTAATTATTTTTTCGACAATATTTTGGTCTCAAAGCAAAATATATAGATTCAGTGTAAAACTTTTAATTTTTAGGGACAACATTAAAAGACCAATATGTAGGATAAAGCAAAACATGTAATTCACATAGTTAAGTATGTGGCTGCTGTTTTTTTTTTGTTTTTTTTTTGTGTTTCGGCTTGCAGAAAATCTTTTATACCTGTCAATTATGTGTTTTTTTTCAAATTAAGTTAAGAGGGGGCTAATTATCATTGATATAACTATGTCAAGAGAGTTTTTATAACACATTTCAATTACAACTTGATGTAGTTCCTAACTGGGATACCATTTAAAGTAGTTTGTAAAATTAGATAATAAGTCCTTAAATAAAATAAAACTCAAGTTTATAACAAAATGACTAAGTTACAAATGGAATGCAACACTAATAAAATAAAGAAGGGCAATCAAGGAACAAAAGACAAACCCGGGAACAGATAAAACACAAAATGACAAACAATAGACAAACAACACTGAAAACTAAAAATAAATGAGAAACATTGATCCCAAAAAACGGGGGCTACGTCAGAGGGTGAACAGAACTTGCTTCTTGCAAGACACTCGCCGTGAAAACAATTTGATTTGAAGACAAGCTTTTGTTTTTTTTTAAATTTCCTACATGAGGCATTTGCCTCAATGTAGTTACGGCCCTGTATTAAAAGTGAGGTAAATGTTCCTGAGACAATATACCTCAAGTTAAATGAAACCTATTTTCAGACATTTCAAGTACATTAATATTTATACATTGTATTATTAAAAGATTTGGGAAGTTTTTCCCGAAAAAAATATGAAAAAAGACGAATTTTGGAAGAATCTGGTGCCATCTCATACTTTAGAATAGCATTTATGAAATGGCTTACAAGACCTGCCGAGTTATTTATTTTCAATACATTGTAAGTCAGGTTATTTATTTTCAAACTTTCAAACTAACCATTCATTTTTTGTTATTATTAAGGATGAGTTATTTATTTTCAAAATCCTCCTGCCAAGTTAGTAAAAGTTAAATACAATTTTCTATTGGAATGCCTACATAACTAAATTTTACTGCTAGTAAAATTAAGCAAACATTGATTAAAAAAACATTATTTTACAGACACCTGTTGAATGTCTGTGGTCAAATACCAGATTCACTGACTTGTTAAGTTTCCACATAAAATAGTGATGACATCTGAAATAAAATGCTCTGCTGGGCACAGCTTAATACGACCGCAGAGGTCGAATCCTGAACAGTTGGGGCAAGTATTGACACAACATTCAAGCTTGATACAGCTCTGAATTTGGATTGTGATTAAATATTTGACACAGCATAGGTTTCTGACACAGAATGAATGTGGTCTAAGAACTTAAAAATTTTTAATTTACCTATTATGGTCCAATACCCAAAATCTAAATACATGGTTAGATTCAGCATATCAAAGAATCCAAAGAATTCAATTTTTGATAAAATCAAACTAAGTTTAATTTTGGACCCTTTGGACCTTAATGTAGACCAATTTAAAAAACAGGACCCAAAATTAAAAATCTAAATACATGGTTAGATTTGGCATATCAAAGAACCCCAATAATTCAATTTTTGATGAAATCAAACAAAGTTTAATTTTGGACCCCAATTTGGACCAACTTGAAAACTGGGCCCAAAATCAAAAATCTAAATACATGTTTAGATTCAGCATATCAAAGAACCCCATATATTCAATTATTGTTAAAATCAAACTAAGTTTAATTTTGGGCCCTTTGGACCTTAATGTAGACCAATTTGTTTGAAAACTGGACCCAAAATTAAAAATCTAAATACACAGTTAGATTCGGCATAACAAATAAATACATGTGCTCAAAGATTTTACAAATCTAATGCCCATACTGTGCACTTAAAGATTACTTCTTGAAATTTTTCAATATTTGAAACTTGAAAAAAAAATAATATTTGAAGAATAATTCTTTTTAATTTCTGAAATCTGAAATGAGAAAAAATTGACCCCCCACAACTTCTTTTTATTCCCCCCCCCTTTTTCCCCCAAAAAATTCTTTCCCTCAAGATATGGTCATAATCTCAATTCAAATTTCCAATGGAGTTTGCAACCATAATTACCCATTTAAATTTACCATAGTGCTAACTTAATCCATTTTATAATAGAATTTAAAATATGGTGTCAAATCTTTCATATGGATTTTTTTGTAAAAAAAAAGATGCAACATTTGCAGATATTTTTACTAGTCTTCCTTTATAAATATGCATTTCTTTAAACATAATTTAAAAGCAGTGTAAGGGAAGTAAACAAAACGTTGTATTTGGATTACCTCCCTTACACTGTTTTAAATTGTCTTAATTGTTCATTAACCATTTCTTTATAAAAGCAGTGTAAGGGGGGTAATTCAAATGATGTATTTGATTTATCTCCCTTACACTGCTTTAAATTATGTTTTGTACTAAAGTATTTGTCCATTAACCAGGACAACCTTGTTTTTCCCCCTAATTCCTAAACGGTTTGAGCCATAACCCCCCAAAGCAAATCCTAACCATCCCTTTGTGGTATGGAAACTTGTGGTATAATTTCAGAGAGATCCATACACCGTTCCACAAGTTATTGTCTGGATACTAGAAAATGCTTATTTTTGGCCCCTTTTTGGTCCCTAATTCCTTAACTGTTGGTACCATAAGCCCCAAAATCAATCCCAACCTTCCTTTTGTGGTAGTGAACCTTATGGTAAAATTTCATAGAGATCCATTCACTTAAACTAAAGTTAGAGTGCGAAAACCAATGTGTCTTCGGACGACGACAACGAAGCCAACGTCATACCAATATACGACCGCAAAAAAATTTTGCGGTCGTATAAAAATGACTGAAAAACTTATCCTGATTGTTTGAGTCTGGAAATGATGTCATTTGTCAGATAGACATCTGCTTGTTCCAATTAAACTACATACCAAGTGTTGTTGACCTATAACTATCATGTATAATTTCTAAGGAGCTGACCTCTAAAGCACTAAAATTAGGTCCCAGTCACCATACCAATCTATGACAGACCGACAGACATACTGCTTCAACAAATCGACATCAAATTTTGATTTAATCTATAGGATCAGGCCTGATCCTTCCCTGAATTATTCATTCCTTCCCTGTTATCGACCTCTCTTATTTGGAGGGGCCTGAACCCTTTATACAATTGAAACATCTGTTGAATCCTTGGTTTTGATTGGCACCCTCTGGGAGAGAGTAATAATCAACCTCCAGCTCAATTTTATCAAGATAGGTACACAAATCTGAAACATGATGCCTTAAGGAAGATTGTGAGCAAGGTTAGTTTTATTTGACATGTGTTTCCAGGAGAAGATTTTTGAACAATATAAAAATAAGAAGCTGGGGTATGATTGCCAATGAGACAAATATCCACCAGAGACCAAATTACGACCTTCAGCAATGAGCAACTAACATAAGGCCCTTTCAAACAATAAGTTAAACCATTTTAATGAAGAAAACAGCAGTCTGATTTATGTTCAAAACAGAAAACGAAAAACAAATATGATGGACAGCAATTAACTACAACCACTGAATTACATGCATCGTGACTATATAATGAGCAGGCACATACAAAATGTGGAAGGGTTATTCATATTTGTGAGCACTCAACCCTCCACCTAACTTGGGACAGAAGTTTTACAGCACAGTTTAGGAGCAAACTGTAAAAATCAGTTGAAAAAGGATCTACACAAACCACCAAAACTGCAAAAGACACAAAGCACTAATCTAAGTGTACTCAAAGTTACTGAAACCTATTTCAAACTTTAAAGCCGATTACAAATAATTTTAAAATCATATTTCCCATACTAAAACATCAATCAGTACACATCCAATGGATTTCTGTAAAGATGCAAAATATAAGTATCAACAAGATGTAGGACAGAAAGTTTGCAAACAGATGGATTGCAATTACAGAGGACAGAAAAAAGTGCTGACAATAGCTCACATTAGGCCATGTGATCTGAAAACACAACTTCAGCCTGTCATTTAAAAAAGAAAAAAATGTTTTTGACAATATTTTTTATTGTAACAATAGTCTACTGTTTTTTTTTCTTTTTTTCAATTTTAAACAGTACTCAACAAAAACATAGATAAACTTAAATTTATTAGTCAACTGTCAACTAAAGATGATATCAGAATTATTTAAAAGTAACAAAATGAGACGGTGCATCACATTTGTGTGCATTACCAAAACATTGGTGCAACATAACGGGAACAATTAAAGGATTTAATTGATTTAATTTTAATTAGATTGGAAAAGATTAGACCTTGTAGACCAATCAGAATCAAATGTTTTTCATTTGTCTGTAAGAAGAAATTCAGGATATTTTTTAAAGAACCTTCCATACATCGGAGTTTCAGATAAGATACAGTTGTGATTTATTGTGTTAAATTTTATTTTAGGACCTTCTAAACACTCTGTCAGTCAATTTTGCTTCAAACTGGTCTAGTGATTTCAGATGAAAATGTTGGCAGTTAATAAAAGACAATAGTGAATACCAAATGATAGCAAAAGTTAAAAATAAATAGCCCTTTGAGCTACACACAACCATCACACTTACACCATGATAACTTTTTAACAATCTAAACTAACATTGGTTCTCTGCACAATATCCTCATTTTCATTCCATTGAGTTTACTCCCAGGCCTGTAGCAAGGATGCCTCTAAGAGAGTTCATTTGGAATCGTGGCACTGGGACTTTAATAGTCAAACACCAATTTAATAGTTTTTAAGAGTATTTTTGTTTTTAAGTGTTATTTGTTGAAACCAGCCCTGGGTGTGATGCATAAATGAAAGTAATCATATATAAATGTTTGCTGCTTTGATGGAGTTAATGAAACATTCACAGAAGGGGATGTTTTATGTACAATGAACATATTTAAAAAAAAATTATTTTGTATTTGGCGATTTACATTTTAAGAGCATACCTTTAAAGCAAATACATTATGTCCATATGAATATATACACTGTACAAAGAAGAAGGTATGATAAGGTCACTTTTCTGGCCCATTGAATTAGAAAATAAAATAGTATCATAAATCTAACAATTAAAATTCTGCAGATGTTCACAAGCTATTAGTCTGTCTGATATCAGTAATCTTATTTTTAAATTTTGGTCTTACATAAACAACATTTAGATATGAGTCAAAGCCTTACCCAAAAAGATATTTTGCTATAGGACATCTTGTATAGATATGTTGATGTGGGTAATTATCTTTTTTGGGTAATCCTTTGGGTGAAATTTAATTTTGGGACACTTGGTGGCCAAGTGGTCTAAGTAGTTCATCTACAGTGATCAATAGCCTGTCAACACTAAGGTTGTGGATAAGAACCCAGCTGTTGGCAGGTGTGTTTGACTTTTATCTCAATTGACTAGCAATGCCAGTTTTACACTTGAAGGTCTGTGGTTCTCTCCAGGTACTCCTGCTTCTTTCACCTATAAAAACTGGCTGCAATGATATAGCCAAGAGTGCTGAAAGTGATGTTAAACACAGACAATCAATTCAATAAACCAACTATTTCATTCTGTAAAATAATATGCATAAAATTGACATTTTATGTCAAATATGTCTATTTCCACCAGGTTATATCTTCATATATAGTGACAGCAAAAATTACATTTCTGTACTGAAGTGTCCCGATTATATCTTCCTATACTTTTATCAATAAACTGACATAGTTTGGAAAGGATTGAAATTCTTATACTACTGTGGATTCTTATCATTTGTAGATTACCAAATTTTGTGGGTATAGATATACCACAAATTTAGATGGTCAACAAAGTAATAATCTAAAGGTTTATATACAAGTTTGTAAAACCACAAAAACAAATATCCATGAAAATACAATATTCCCTTAATACTCACTGATTTGATTAATAAAGGAGGCATAATTGGTGTTTCCCATATATTTTATGTGAAATATTAAAGTCATGTTGGTTGGTGGCCAGGATCGTCAGAAATAAATTTGAACCTTAACACCATTAGGAATACTAAGACCAATATTAGTTCCAATTTGTGTTATTCCAAAATTCTGGTAATCGCTTCCCGCTTCTGGTATTTTGGAATTTAGCATTTTGAATTCTATGGAATGTAATAAATTGTAGTACATTGTTGTTCATCAAAATGTATAACAGAATGGTTTATTTTAATGTCTGGCAAAAATGAAGTAAATTCCAATGACATTCAGATAAGAAAAGGTATGAAACAAACTGACCTTTAATATGGAGGTCAAAACAAAGATAGTGTTATTCATGAATTTTGGTAAAAAAATTCAGATGGTAGTTTAGCAAATAATGATTAATTTTCCTTTTCCAAATTTTAATTCAAAAACAGTAATTTTGATAAACAATTAGAAATAATGGTAAACTATGTAAATTGATAAAGAAGTGAAAAGTAGTCTCATCACTCTCATGGAATGAAATTATTTACTTATCACCAAGGTAACAGACAAATGTAATAACACTTGTACTTTAACAAAAGTTAAGTTCTATATCATGAAAACAGACATAAATATTGCAGCTGTTTTGAAATGGGAAACTTTACATATCACAAGACTTAAACTATTGATAATAACAAAAATCTTATCCTTTTTCAATTGTGAATTCACAGCAATACCAGGTACTTCCCCTTTCATTGACTCTCCTATACAAACACTAGTTTTATTTAGTATAAATTACTTCCCTTTTGTGAGGTGCTTTCACCTATTTTGACTTCAACCTTCAACTGAGATTTAGTATGAATACCGGTACTTATTTTTTGTAATGTACTTGGGTACATTACTGTAAACAACATTTTGAATTAATTAATGCATGTAGTTTTCAGAGTAATTAAATTTATATAAAAAGTTATGCAAATTTATACACCTGTTAAACAACTGAACAATAAAGTTTTCTTTACAAGGGTGCATATACTTTAGAATACCAGTTATGCTACACAATGAATGATAATTTAAAGATAACAGTAAACATTTCCCCAATCATTGAGTTGACCCTATTAAAACATTTTACCTTTACCATCAATAAAGTGATAAACATCAATTTGTTACAAATATTTCAGAAATGAATTTTTCTTTTTTTTTTTCTTTCTTTGTTTGAATTGCTGGACATTTAAAAAGGAGCAGATATGCAGTTTTAAATTAATACTTTTAATATAATTGGATATTTTCCACAATTCATATCTTTAAAACATTTTATTTTTTTTTTACATAAAATATTCACCTTATAATATTATCCGATACATTAAAAATAATTGACATAATTCTTTAATATGATTATTTTTTATGAAAACAGTGTATTTGACATTAACTTGAATCAGATGATGATTAACTGATTTGAAACACTTCCTTTCAAATCATGAAAAGAAATTTTGTCTATACATAGTAGAAAATGAAACAAAAACAATAACCCCACAGTAATAGCATGTTTTTTTTTTTATAGCAAGAAGATCATTATAAAGCCCTGGCAGTGACGTGACTAAAGTCTTTCTTTACGTAAATACAAAATCTAACCTACAAAATGTTAAATATCCCCCACAAAAGGGAAGTAATTTATGAAAGAGGAAGCATAACAAACCAATGTAAAACATAGCTATCACATTACAAAAAATTTTAATCACAACATTTTTCGAGATGTTCTCTAGTTTCCTGGTCATGACCAAGTTCGAAACTGTGATCACACCGAGGACAATGAGTTAAATTAATATCGTCTACTTTTCTCATAGTAATTTCAAGTGCTAATTCAGTATCACTGTCCACAGAGTTGAAGTCATTTAAATCTGGAACGGTATCTAATAAATTATCTGGGTCTGTATCCGTTTTTTTCACTTTTAATTTTGTGGCTAGATTTGTTCCTTCCTTGTCTGTTTTGTCGTGTTTTGACATGTGTGCAGAATCAGTTTGTATAGCATCGACAACATTGTACATATCATAAACATTTTCTTCCCTTCTTCTCATTGGACCTCTTGCTGCAAGCTGCGACTGAAATTAAATGTACAAAATAGACGTATTTACACTTGTATGCAAATTTGTCCGCCATTACGTAAAATCACACAGGTTCCCGTAAACTTTGACATCATAATTCAAAACATTTGACGTCACAATTAAAAAGTGATTGTTGTCTGACGTCAAAAGGTGATCCGGAGTAGATCTAAGGTCATTCGGAGGCAAAATATAGCTAAATACCAAAAGTGTAAATACGTTTATTTGAAATTCAATAATGACAAAAACCACATTGAACCTTTTTCTTTTCAGGACAAAAAAAATTAGTCAAAGTTTTTATTATTTAAAAAAAATAATCATTAACTTTTCAAGGGCTTATGTGCGAAATGGAACGATATAAAAAGGATTCCTAGTGCTTATGTAGGCATGAACTGTTTATTAAATACCAATTTATAAAGCATATTTGATATATGTATCAGCATATCACACCATTTAATATTGGTTCTATGATCTATTTGGCATGATATGGAAAGTCAACTCTGATTAATATGTATGTAAACATGATCTTTTACTTAGTATATACTAGTGTTGGAATTGACTGGAAAATAAAAGGACAGCATTCTCTGATTTAATTATCAGCTATGATCTTTTCTTTATTAGGGCCTTCTTAAAAAAAATACCTTAGGGGAGGGAACTACTTTCTTCAATTGGGGTACCACCACCAAGAATTGAGTAGAGTTTGTCAACCCCATTCCATCCATCTGGCTAAGGTTAATAAAATTTGTATATCAACATGATCTTTTAAATAATATATACTTTTATTGGCAATTTGTACCTTTTCCCTTTGATCTAACTGCCTAATATTTTTTAGATTATGGACAGGACCTGATACATGAAAAATACTAGGCAATGGTGTGATGTATCAATGCACTGACGTCACACGTTCATGTCTAATAGCGTCAATTTACCACACAACTTCATTCATACAACTAAACAACTATCACACTGTTATGAACGTGAAAAAAAGTTTTACTAACTAAATCATTTTATTCTATATTCTCAAACAAAAACACATATGGCTAAGACAAATTGCCAATATAAAGAATAATGTGGGCTCACTTGATATCATATTCTTGCTAATAAAAGTCAGTATCAAAAACAACAAGCATTCTGTGAGTATTGCCTAGCAATACATAGTCCCCTACTGGTTAAAAATTCATTGTACTGGAGCAAAATTCTAACTTGATCTATAACTTGTCATGGTGTAAACTATATAACAAATATCAAGTCAATATTTTCAAGCATGACGAAAAAAAAGGTAGAAAATTGATTATTTGAGTGAATTTTCTAAGTCCAAGGACCATAACTCTACACAAAATCATCAGACCAGAACAAAATTCAAACTTGATCTGTAACTTGTCACGATAAAACTATTTACCAATAATCAAATCAATATCTTCAAGCATGACAAAAAAAAGTGCGGAAAACTGATTATTTGAGTGAATTTTCTAAGTCCAAGGGCCATAACTCTGCACAAAATTATTAGACCCGACCAAAATTTGAACTTGATCTGTAACTTGTCATGGTAAAACTATATACCAATCATGGATGAACAGACGGACAGACAGACAGACAGACAGACAGAGTTCAAACCTATAGTCCCCTTCGACTTCGTTGTAGGGGACTAAAAATTTGGCATTTTTCTATAGGTGACGGGAATAGGACGGAAAATAATAGGAGGGCTGTCTGAAAAAAAATGCCTGACGGGTCAAAATTCCTTACCACAATCAGAATTTTAACAACTTTTTTTATTGAACATAACAGTACATATAATGAAAATTACACCCCAACCAAGGTTAACAAGAGGCTGTCAAAATGACAGCGAATTCAATCTTATTGCACATATAGTAGTGTCATTTAAATTAATCAGAACATCACTTGTATATACAATCCAAAAGTCTTATTATAATGAAATAAATGATCAAAGACAATCGACCTAAAACTGATCAAGGAATATGATCAGAATATGTTATTAAGAATTTTGACATGCATGCTAGCTTATTTCCAAACATTGTTTCTTAATTTGAATATTACTGAATAATTCAGATATAAAAAGCAATACCTTTAAACTAAAGATTTATCTCCCTTTGATCACTAATAATATTTGGTTATGCTAATAATAAAGTCTATAAAGCCTCTACAGAAATTTCTAGTAATCCATATTTATAATTAATTTCAGTTTCTCAACATTTCATTCACTTTATACCATTTATTATGTTTCTTATTTTTATGGTGTTTATGAGTTAAATAAGCTATGGGTATTAAAAATGTAAGTCCTTGTATTGAGTACTTTAAAAGTGTTGTCCAAAATTCAAATAAATAAATCAACAAAATTTCTTTTTTGTACACAAAAATGCCATGGTATGCAGTAGCAGTATCTAAGAGCATTAATAATAGATTTTTGAAAAGAAGAAAATCAGAATCATAATCATTCCATTTGGTCTGTATACTGTTGGGAAGTAATACTGTTCAAATCAATACCCTTTTTTATTAAAATATATTCATGTACAGATTAAAAAAAGACCAGTACAAAATTTATATCTGACAACTATGTGGTACAGAATCATTTTGAACAACCTGTATCTTAACTTCTGTAAAAAAAAACAGAAATATAGGAATGAGGATCTGCTCATGGTATTTTAAAACATAATAGAATAACAAGTTTTGATCTTGTTCAAAGACACATACATGCATGGAATTATGTTTATTGGATTTTCAAAAGGATTTTAACTTTTAACTTCTAAAAAATTGAGGCCAAATGAATGTCAAATGAATTTACATTATCTGATATTGAAATAGTTTTCAGTATAAACGGGAATCAAATAACAAAAGCAAATGCATTAACATTATTGTAAATGAAAAGTTGTCATTTTCCATAAGTGTTTGTTCATGAACAATAGTAGATGACAGTGAATTTGATGAATCTGTTAACATGTTTTATCAACCATTAGTATAATAATTATATCTTTTGTTATTCCCATAGAGTTAAGTGGATTTTTTTCTGAACTGATTGTTTGTGCATGTTCCACTATATACAACTAAATATATTGTTACTCCTAGAATCACAATTAATAGGGAAAGATTAAATAGGTATCAAACTGAAATTGGACAAATTAAAAATGTTAAAATTCATCAATATTTTTTAACAAATATTCTATGCTGAAATCAGCAAACTATTGTAAAAATAAAAAGTATACACATACATTTAGTAAAAGATGTATACAGATATTGTTTTCTAGTAATCTGCTTTTATTTTGAGTAAACAGTAATATTGGAATTTGGGTTCCATTTGCATTCCATGTTTAAACAATGACGATTTCTTAAGAACTCAAAGGATTGTGAATTAAAAATTAAATATTTTAGAATCAATGATAAATAACATCTCCACTAAGCACGTAGAATTAAGGAGTAAGAGCAAAGTCTGCTTGGAGTCAGAATGTTAAAAATCTGGCTAAACATGTCAGTCTAGTACAAAGCAGGCTTCATAATAATATTGCATTAATATGTTCTCATCCTACACATGCATTTAATTTGCCACTTGAAGTTATACAGTCACCCATCATCATCATCATCATCATCATCATCATCATCGTCATCATAAAATTACGATGCCAAATGGCAGTTTATGGACCATTTGGTCATTTCCAAATAAAATATGAACCTCAGCTTCATTTCAGTTCAAACCCTTTTTGTAAGAATATGCTGAGTCCATCTGCTCTCGTATGGCATGAAATATTTGTTTATTTGGAATCAAATTATGATTTATCTTGCAATTTAAACCAAGCATGCTTTGTTTTGTGATGTATCAAAAACTGATAAATATCTTCTGTGATTTATCTGTGTATTGTTTGGTTGTTGCTTCATTGATGTGTACCCCACATCTTCTTTAATTCAAAGTCCATAGTGGTATAAATTACATTACCAAAAAAGCTACTGACCTCTCTATTATACTGTCCCTGAAGGTTGAAACCTCCATATAATTCAGGTGAGCTAGGGTTTCTTGGTTCAAACAAATTTTGATGAGGTAGTCGTCCATCATCTGGCCTCTACAGAAAATAAAAGTCACCATTTAAACCATAGATCATTTATCTGTTAACCTATTTTTTTTTATAGTGTTAATTTATTTACTTGAAAGTGGTCAATTTAATTTAAATTGTTACAACAGTTCTCTAAAAAATTGTTAGTTGTTGAAATCAAACATGCACACAAGAAACAGCTCAATTCAGGTAACTTTACCTTTATATAATCCACCTAAAATTCCTATTTGAACAGCTTCTATAACAACCTAAATAAAATTTACCACTTGCAAAAAAATGGTTACCACATCAAGGGTTTATTGTGTAAGTTGGCGGATGCCAAGTAATGGCTGTTGGGCCAGGTGAGCTAAAAATGCAATACATGTGTAATAATTAAATTTGCTGGTTTTTGATTTGAATGAAGGCATGATAATTCTTTACCTTTGTTATAAATATATGAAATTCATATGGTTGCCATGACAAGATAGACAACTATTTTTCATGCATCAATAAAAGATATTTGTATGTTAAAAAAAACCCTGTATGCTGCTTCATTTCATAAGTAAGTTTTTTTTTTATTTCCTAAATGATCTATGTTTACTGTTTAAGTTAAATCAATGTGAATAATAAAATAGTTTTATTTTCCTCCTTACACTTTTACCTTTTTTAGGAAAATTCATGAATCAAACTATTCATATTTCTTTATTTAAACACAAGCATGCTAAATATTTATTTTCTTAACAAAATCTATTGAATAAGAATCATCACTGTACCATTCTTTTATACTGAGAGACTTCAGCTTCCAGTTCAGCCACTCTATTTTGCGCCTTCTCTCGATCTTTTCTTTCTGATTCAAAGTCTTCAGTACAGATTTGAATTTGAGCCTTCAATGCACTTATTGTCTCTACATCACTACGTAGGTGGCCATCATCATGTCCTAAATTACCGCATTGAACATCATTTTGCAGTCGCGTCAGTTCAGATGACTTTGCTATGAGTTGTTGATTTCTTTCATCTAGTTCTTCTTGGCACTAAAATATTTTTAAAGTTTTTTTGTCATAATGTATTAAATGACTCTAAATTTCTGCATGCATTGCACATTGTGAATCTTGTTTCTGAGGTATTTTAATTTCCAAAGATGATGTCTTAAATATATCATTGGTTTAATTCTTGGATAGTTAAGACCAGCTAGGAATCAAACCAATGACCTCCTACACAAGAGTCAAGCTTTCAGTGAGATGAACTAGTAAGTCCATATTACTTAGTTACAGTATATCATCTTGAAATATTTCTTTGGTATGAAATATTTTGCCTTGTCTAGGAAATAAATATTATATTACTATTGGTAAAATAATACCAAAATGTCATTAACTTCAGGTCAAAAATAAAATTGAAATTGTTTGATGTTGCCTACCTACCCACCTAAAAAGCAGCCTACCAAAAAAAATTTATGACACAAATCGTTTAAAATTTTTTTTTTAAAAGATTTTTTCCTGCTCTAATGAGTTTTCTTGTGTAAAACATGTAACTTGTTTTTGTTGGTAAAAAAACATAAATCCCTACCTACCTACCCAACCCTACAAGGAATGGGAAATCAACATCAAACAAGGAATTTTTTATGGTGGCCTCAGTTAAAAGAATTCAATAGTAGCATGTGACCTATACAATAACAGAACTGATGCTTCCTCTTTTTACCTGTTTCTTCTCTCGTTCCAATTTTTGTAGGCGTCTGCTAGCATCTTCCAAAGCAGCATTTATTGCCTGAATTCTATCGGGCTGAACATGATTTTGCTCTATTTGTTGCCAGTATCTTTCTTTTTGTGACATATATTCTTGCCATCTCTTGTTCATTTTCACTAACTGAAAATATATAATGAAACTAAAATTTACACCTTATTTAAGTAAGAATCCTTCATTATTTGTTTTATTTCGTCTTGTTTCATAAAAATTTTGTCTCATTTTTGATACATGGCAATAATTTTAGTAAACTTTCAAATTTTCTTTGGCATTTTTAAAATTGTATTAGCCATGTTATAACCCTTTTGTTTTTCTTGATTTAAAAAAAAAAAATCCTTGTCTAGTTTATGTTACTTAAAGTAATGTGAATCAAATATCAGAAAGGCTCTTACATTCAATTTGGAAAATCACTTAGAAAGCAAATTACACAAACCCAGAGACCGGAAACCTAATAAGGTTTTCTTCCAATATGCCTAGTAACTCTAAGTACGGAAATTTATAAAAAGAAGACTTTGAAATATTTTTAGGAAGGGTAATTTTTCCATTTGTTAAGGGGTATAACTCTAGAACGGTAAAAGTGACGCCACCAAAATTCAAACTTGATCTGTATTTAGTGGTAATAAGCATTGTGTATAATTTCATAACATTTGGTTGAGGCAAACTAAAGTTAGAGAATGGAAACCAACTTGGGACGTACATACGTACAGAAGGGCAAGGGTAAAACTTAATGCCCCCTCCGCTACGGCGGGGGCATAAAAATTATACTTCTGAACACAGGCTACAACAAAGTTATATGGATAATGATTTAAAGTACAAAAAATTATCATGTACCATTCCTATGTTGTTGTTGTTTTATACAACTCACCTCACTTAATTTGTCTTTCAGACTAGCATTCTCCTCCTGTAACTTCTCTACATCTGTTTGACCTGATGAGATACCTCCCTGTAATAAATACAATGAGTTATCTCCCTGTATGATAAGTGTAATAAACACAAAGAGCAATTGCTAATTTCTCAACATCCAGTGGCATATTATTTCATGCATTTTCAGGACATGAATGAAGGGCAATGTAGTTGGTGTATACTTAACCTTTCAAATATTGAGCTTTTGACTTTTGATAATACATTGTATTTGTGTCCTAAAGGCGATTTTTAATCCATATATGATGTTAGACTATTTGCAACAGATTGGGTACATGTACAATGTCAATGATTTTTCATCATTTCTTTGACATTTGATTTTAAATTTCCTATTCTTGAAAATATTTGCTTTTCAGAAAAAATGGGTTTTAACCAAATTTTAAAAGCAGTTAGAAATGCCAGTCTTTTGCCAAACAATTGGAAGGATGAATATTCAAATCTGTTCAGTTTATGAATAATGGAGCATGACTGGCTATTCAAATTGCCATGTTTACACCAAGAGATATAGTTGTTAACATCCTCATCCTGGTGGAATAGTCAAGATTCTCATTGGCAATCATACTATCTTATTTTTATATTGATACCGTTACAGAATTTTTTTAGCATACTTACTTTACTTTTTTCACTACGTTCCAGCTTCACTGCCAGCTTTTGACAATGAACTGCTACATCATGTAACTGCTGTTTTAGCGTATTTGTTTCTTCCGCAAGTGATGAACACAAAATGTCTCTAGTTTCACATTCATTCTTCATTGAACTGATCTCGTCATGTAACTTTTTTATTTCAGATAGTTTTTCGTCATCACTCGATTTCATTAGTCTTCCTGTACTTTGTAATTTTTCAGAAAGTCCTACAATGGTATGTCTTAAGTCCTCAATCTCTATGTTTTTATTTTCTAGGAGCTGTAATTCAAAAACAAATAAAATATAATATTATTATATATTTATTTTCATTAATTAAATCATTGTAAAATATAACATGTAATAGCAATAGTGAATACAATGTTCCAATGAAAAAAAAAACATATTCAAAATAAAAAGTTATTAAAAGTTAGAAACCATCTTAAAATGCTCAGCTGGGCGCTGGGCGCAGCTTGATACGACCGCAGAGGTCAAACCCTGAACAGTTGGGGCAAGTATGGACACAACATTCAAGCTTGATACAGCTCTGAATTTGGATTGTGATTAAATATTTGATACAGCATAGGTTTCTGACACAGAATGAATGTGGTCTAAGAACTTAAAAAAATTTAATTTACCTGTTCAAACCATATCATTATTATTTGCTTTTATATATAAATCAGAAATAACCAACTTAAAATGGAAAATTTTAAAGAAAAAAAAAGGAAAAAAAAATCCCCCCCCCAAATTTTTTGAACCCCCTTATGATTCATCACCCCCAAACTCAATCCCAGCCTTCCCTTTGTGGTATGGTACCTTGCAGTACAATTTCAGAGAGATCCATACACTTGAACACAAGTTATTGTCTGGAAACTAGAAAAATGCTTATTTTTGGCCCCTTTTTGGCCCCTTATTCCTAAAAGTTTTACGCAATTACCCCCAAACTCAATTCCAGCTTTCCCTTTGTGGTATGGAACCTTGTAGTACAATTTCATAAAGATCCATACACTTACACACAAGTTATTGTCCTGAAACTAGAAAAATGCTTGTTTTTTGCCCCTTTTTTCTAAAATTTTGAGGCAATTACCCCCAAAATCAATCCCAGCCTTCCCTTTGTGGTATGGTATCTTGAGTACAATTTCAGAGAGATCCATACACTTGAACACAAGTTATTGTCTGGAAACTAGAAAAATGCTTATTTTTGGCCCCTTTTTGGTCCCTTATTCCTAAACGTTTTGGGCAATTAACCCCCAAACTCAATTCCAGCTTTTCCTTTCTGATATGGAACCTTGTAGTACAATTTCAGAACGATCCATACACTTACACACAAGTTATTGTCATGAAACTAGAAAAATGGGTTTTTTTTGCCCCTTTTTTTGCCCCTAATTCCCAAAATTTTGAGGCAATTACCCCAAAAATCAATCCAAGCATTCCCTTTGTGATATGGAACCTTGTGGTACAATGTCAGGGAGATCCATACACTAACACAGAAGTTATTGTCTGGAAGTTACAAAAATGCTTATTTTTGGCCCCTAATTCCTTAACTGTTGGTACCATAACCCCCACAATCAATCCCAACCTTTCTTTTGTGGTATTGAACCTTATGGTAAAATTTCATAGAGATCCATTCACTTAAACTAAAGTTATTGTGCGAAAACCAATGTGTCTTCGGACGACGACAACGACGACGCCAACGTCATACCAATATACGGCCGCAAAAATTTGCGGTCGTATAAAAAGCTTTAGGATAAGAAATGAATTATTTAAAACTTACAATTTTACTTTTGTAGTATAATTTAGTATTTTTAATTACAATATGTACTAAATGAATATTTATCATGTACAATCATAATATTTGATAACCTCATAAATCTGTCATTGTCTGTCAGTCATTAGATATTTCCAATAATAAATTTCTTAATTTATACATGAGAGTATATCTTACTTTTTAAAGGGAATGTACCAATATTTTTAATAAGTTATGTTTTTATAAAATAGATAAATACTGCCTAATTTAGACTTACCTGGTATTCCCATTATTAAGCAATCAATATGTATTTATCATTCTTTTGTTTCATTTTTGTCTTCCTGAACTCAGAGTTGAAAGGAAGTTTTATGTTTGGAAAGAAACAGTTTTCATTCACAAATTTCAATTTCATACATTTGCTACCTTAAAGTATTTAAGTGGAACTGAGTACCTTAGGTCTTCAAAAATCCTAATTCTAGAATCTTATCATTTCTTAAATGGATGTAATAAGGGAGTTTTCCTCTTCTTTTTTTTCTTCTATATCTTGTATGAAAATGAACTGAGCTTTCAGATTAAAGTTATTATAAAAATTTGTTTACATGGCTATAATTGAAATGAATCAATGACAAAAATCAGGATAAAGTTATTGGCATGGATGGGCACATATTTATTGTATAAATAAGGCTTTAATGTCCTAAAAAATTCATTTCACTATAAAAGTATAATTTTTAAGAGAAAAAATATTTGCAAGTTAAAGTAATGAACTTTTCAGTATAATATTAGATGTTAATCAATAAAATCAAAACTAATTATGTTGTACTTTGTTCAGCCTATTTTTATTTTACTTTTATATTATGTTTGAAAATTATATTGTAATTATTCTGGTCATTTTGGGCGTTGTAATTGGCAAATAAAGTATCAAATGTTGAGAAATTTTTTCACCAGGAAAAATATTTATTTGCAGCAAGAAAGCTAGTCAAAAGGAGCCAATAGAAAATAAAATGCTCTGCTGGGCGCAACTTGATACGACCGCAGAGGTCGAACCCTGAACAGTTGGGGCAAGTATGGACATAACATTCAAGCTAGATACAGCACTGAATTTGAATTGTGATTATATATTTGACACAGCATAGGTTTCTGACACAAAATGAATGTGGTCTAAGAACTTAAAAATTTTTAATTTACCTATTCAAACCATATCATTATTATTTGCTTTTATATATAAATCAGAAATAACCAATTTAAAATGGAAAATTTTAAAGAAAAAAAAAAGGAACCTCCCCCCCCGATTTTTTGAACCCCCTTATGGTTCATCACCCCCAAACTCAATCCCAGCCATCCCTTTGTGGTATGGTACCTTTCAGTACAATTTCAGAGAGATCCATACACTTGAACACAAGTTATTGTCTGGAAACTAGAAAAATGCTTGTTTTTTGGCCCCTTTTTGGCCCCAAATTCCTAAACTTTTAAAGCAATTACCCCATAACTCAAACCCAGCTTTCCCTTTGTGGTATGGAACCTTGTAGTACAATTTCAGAAAGATCCATACACTTACACACAAGTTATTGTCATGAAACTAGAAAAATGCTTGTTTTTTGCCCCTTTTTGGCCCCTAATTCCTAAAATTTTGAGGCAATTACCCCAAAAATCAATCCCAGCCTTCCCTTTGTGGTATGGTACCTTGCAGTACAATTTCAGAGAGATCCATACACTTGAACACAAGTTATTGTCTGGAAACTTTCCCTTTGTGATATGGAACCTTGTAGTACAATTTCAGAAAGATCCATACACTTACACACAAGTTATTGTCATGAAACTAGAAAAATGGGGTTTTTTTTGCCCTTTTTTTGGCCCCTAATTCCTAAAATTTTGAGGCAATTACCCCCAAAATCAATCCCAGGATTCCCTTTGTGATATGGAACCTTGTGGTACAATGTCAGAGAGATCCATACACTAACACACAAGTTATGTCTGGAAGTTACAACAATGCTTATTTTTGGCCCATTTTTGGCCCCTAATTCCTTAACTGTTGGTGCCATAACCCCCAAAATCAATCCCAACCTTCCTTTTGTGGTATTGAACCTTATGGTAAAATTTCATAGATATCCATTCACTTAAACTAAAGTTAGAGTGTGAAAACCAATGTGTCTTCGGACGACGACGCCAACGTCATACCAATATACCACCGCAAAATTTTTTTGCGGTCGTATAAAAAGCTCTGATTAGTTCTGGACAAAACCTGTTAAAAGTTGTTTATGTGCAATGACAGTACTATCCTAAAAATTATTTCAAATGGTCTGTTTTAACCTTAATCAAATAAAACGGTTTAATATATGTGTAGTCTAAAAAGAAAGGAAGATTTCCCTTACAATCAAACACACCCAAGATATGTTGAATACTAGTTTCTTTACTGTACAGCTAAATTTGGAAATGAGTGCTAGAATGTTCTCAGAAGTCATTAGAATTTTCTCTCCTGTAACAATGTCTCATTCTCAATGCTTATAAATATCATATGACATTTTGCTACAGTTATATATTTAATGATAATGTCATGCATGTGGGCTAAAATATGTTTAATATGTGTGATGTAAGTTTAATTTACATCACTTATAATATTTATATTTTATTGGATAAGGAAGTTAGACAAATAACGGGCAAGATACTGCATAGCTGAGTTAACCACATTGACAATACAATATAGTATTTAATATCTATTTAAGGAAATAAATAAACTGGAGGCAGGCCACATTTGATTGTTTACTAGTAATGTCAGATTATCTTTCTTATTAACAAGGTATTATAACATTAATATTACATTGGTTGCAATGAATTACAGTGATTCCCAGTGAAATAACTAAACTTAAGAAGATAAGAGAGAAACATGATCAGCAATACAAGATCAACAAAAAAATTGAATTTTGTCATGAATTAATTTCTAGTCTACAATGTTGGAGAGCATCCATAGACCTAGTTGAGCAACACATGCTCTTTAAAGTCTCTCATTTCCTGTCCCCAGAAGGTCAATCATGGGGTAACAATACTGAGGCTTGCTCTGAAGGAGGTGTAATACTGTTTTACCTCTATCTGTCTTAAGAAATTCAATCACAATTTTCTCAGGAACTACTAATTGAGCTTAGCTTCAAGAAATTTGTTATCAGTTTTCATATGAACATGCTATACTGTGTGATTCAGTTTCAGATTCATCTATTCGCCTTTTCAGAATCTAAAGGACTATATATATGGGTAATCTCATTGCTCGTACACCAAAATGAAAATAACTTTACATCATTGGTTGAATTTCAATTGTTTAGTACGTTTTAAACCAATCACAATGTTTTGGTGTATGCTTTTGAAAATATTACCCAGAAAGCATTAGATTCTGAAACGGCATTTGTCAACTTCCTGTTTACCCAATACCTATATATTCTAGTACATGGGAAGTATATCAGATAATTTCACTCCACTGATGTCATACAACATTGGTGTTGTCAAGATGCTGTCAATGACGTTGAATCAATACAATTAAGAATGCATA